AAAGTTTTTCAACACTTCATTTGAACTAGATGTTGGAGTCAAAATCATAAAACACTGTCATGAGATTGAAGACATTCACTAATGTTCTCCTCTGGTGTTCTGTAAGACAGATTGATTATTATTACAAGGTCCAAAACAAAGTGCTAAAAAGAAAACAAAAACTTCTACAAGGTCCAACAGAAATCAAGTAAACAACATGGTAGAATACAACAGAGCCAGTAGGATGAATCAGTACAAATACCTCACAGGCAGTAACTCTGCTTAATACACATGGCACACAACATACAAGACACACGCTGCACAACAGAGAACTGATGTAAACATGTTTACTAAAGGTCAGCTGATGCCACATTTAACAAGATCATATTTGTGCCGAGTGAGGGTTCTGTAAAATGTTGAGTAAAAAGAGAAGTGATTTGGCAGCTCAGTGGTTAACACTGTTGCCTGTTTTATTGTAGTTTTAGACTTTTGTTAAACATGACTCCATCAGTCATAAGGTACGATGTTTAAATGAGTTGAGCAGCTTCAGCTCTCGAGGCACATGTGTGGCTCTTAAAAGAGCCTTTGTTGTTAGTTTGTCTGCAGCTGGTTTACTTGGAGCTGGTGTACTTGGTGACAGCCTTGGTGCCCTCAGACACAGCGTGCTTGGCCAGCTCCCCAGGCAGCAGGAGGCGCACAGCGGTCTGGATCTCCCTGGAGGTGATGGTGGAGCGCTTGTTGTAGTGAGCCAGACGGGAGGCCTCGGAGGCGATGCGCTCGAAGATGTCGTTGACGAAAGAGTTCATGATGCTCATGGCCTTGGAGGAGATGCCGGTGTCAGGGTGGACCTGCTTGAGGACCTTGTAGACATAGATGGCATAGCTCTCCTTCCTGGTCTTTCTCCTCTTCTTGCCTCCTTTACCGGCAGTCTTGGTGACAGCTTTCTTGGAGCCCTTCTTGGGCGCAGACTTGGCGGGTTCAGGCATGCTGCGAGTCGGAGTTTCCAACGACGAATGTTAATGTGAAGAGGAACAAACTGTTTTTATCTACACTCCAAGCTAATACCACTGTGCTGTAACCCGTCTGTGATTGGCTGAGCCGCTAGGGGCTGAGCCTTGAAGCCTCATGTTTCCATAGAACCATAACGGAAGTACCAGAGCCCTGTAAAGAGAGAGTTGCGACACTCTTTGAACTCGCCGATACGCGGTCACGTGGTTCATGCAGCTGTCAACAGTTCCAAACAGCTCATCGCTGTCAGTCAGTTTGAGCGGCTGCTGGCACAACATAACACAAAAATCGACTTTTCTTACTTTACCTGACGTCTTTCAGTAATTGCTGAGCAGTAACGAACTGATTACTTAACCGATTATTGATTATTTCACAAACTATGCATTTTATCAAAGCATTTTTAGAAGCAGCTGATACATTTATCATTAAATTTTAGAAGGAAACGAGACTGCAAACATATTTGTTAGAAAAAAAAATGTATATGCAATACAATGATCAATATAGCCATGTCAGTGTTTTATAACGTTAAAAAAAGATCAGAGTAACTCCTGTTATAAAGTATCTTGATGCATGCTCAATAATCCAGGTAGAAAAATCCAAAAAAGTTCAATCTGGTCCTCTGG